CGTGATTGCGAGGTCAACATCAACCTCCGTGAGCTGAGCGGCTTGTGCGTCAGCCATGTTGATGATTTATCGCGGAAAGACTGACTACGGCTATATCATGTGCGCTTTAGCGTTCGGTTCGCCGTCGGACATGTTGATGATAAGGCGTTCGGACGTTCGAACGGACGCTAACGTCGCCGTTCGGACGTCGAACGGCCCTTACCTAATATGTACATACCCCAAAAAGGGCTTAGACGAGTAGGACCAATCAGCGCGCTCGTTCAAAATCTGAACGAATATTCAGACTCCAGACGCTACATATGTGTGCAAGTCCAGACCCAGTTATAGAGTTTGCGAATATACTACTGGGGATGGTACCCAGGCTAATAGAACCGGGTACTGGATGACCCAAAAGTCTCTGCTGGTATGGTATTTAAAGGCCTCTGAAAAAAAGACAGGATGATCCTGTCAATATTCCAAACACAGGTTATTGCCATTTCCTTTGTTTTCTCGTTGTACATACCTTTGTGACTGTACACCACGGCTCTCAGATATCCATCCTCGCCGACATACCCTAACCCTGCGCCACTCACTCTCGGGTCCAAGTCGGTCTCATCCGCCGGGCTGACCGGGACGTCCCGCCGGACCAGGTCAGTCCTGCTGACCAGGCAGCCGCTGGGGGAACACTTGACCCAGTCTGACTTTGTTCCTCTGACCTTCTTGGACATTCTGGAAACAGGCGTCAGGTAAAAATGTAACGTTACCTCACTAAAGCCGTAACCAAACTTTATCACATGTGCACACAGATCTGTCTAACCACATGCCACACTGATCGCTTCTGCTTCCGGGTCAGAGTTCGAGGTGCTGTTCGGTTTACGGAAAAGGCTGGGTGCCAGGCCTGGACCGGCTAGTCAGCTGGAACGTCAGGCTTCACAGATCCCCCCATAATTAATTGTCTTCGTCAGAAGGACTATGAAATTGTCTCGCCGGAGTGTAGGGAACTGCGGATTTTGCGTTATAACTCTGGAAGGCATGATTCGACGTCCATGATTTTTGGCAGGCAGATTACCGCTGTTGAGGCCAAAGTCAAGTACAAGTTTCGGCTTCGTGGGGGGTCCGTGCGTCACGTTAGTGCACCTTTTGTGTTTGTGGCTTGTTAGCAAAATAACTCAAGTATTTGTAAAATGTTGATTATAATTCTTGGTGTGGTGCTTACTGTTGTCAGGACCAAGGTTAAGTTCGTTACTGAGCTTCGTGGGGGGTTTCGTTGTGACTACAGGGGGCATTTTGTTAATTTTTCATGTGAGCAGGATAACTTTTGTATGTGTGGATGGAAGTTAATGAAATTTGATAGGCATGTTACTGTGCTGGTCTCCAAGATTGAGTTCAAAGATGAGAGTCGTGGACGTCGTTATGTCCCCGTAATAGGACCTTTTGTGTTTAGAAATCCCCCACCTACATCTGCTTGGAGACAGCCGACAGCTGGATATAGCGGGGGAACCCCATAATGGGATGGGATCAAATGACGTTACATTGAGGGATCGTACTATAACTTCAGCAGGGGGAGGATAGGTTGGACATATGTCAGGTTATTTTCTACGGCCACACCAAGTAATTGCTATGGATGACGTCCACTGGAGACCTTAAATCTAATTACCTTAAATTTAAGCAAGCGCGCAGTAAAAACACGAAGGGCCGAAAAATGAGATGCCTAGCTAGATTTGGAATATACTAACTGTAGAAGTACAAATGTTAGGACACAAAGAACACAAGTCTTCTATTTGTCATAAAGACAAATTAACAAAACAGCAGCCAGTAGTCACCCTGTTCTGATTCTTTCCTTTATAACATCTTCTCTTATTATATTTTGCGGCGCTGTCGTGACACTTTCAACACAGTAAGAATTTCTTGAACGTTTTTTTTCCAGTAACAGTCCAAACTCAAATAACTGGGGGGGGGGGGCTAACACGGGTGACGACGCATCTGTATAATCTGCGGCAAACCGTTTCAGGGTGTTCTGTACCATAAAAATAGTACAGAGATTCTTTTGTTCTTTAGACCAAATTGAAAGAGTGAAGAATACGCATGTTAATTTCTCTAGAACGATGTACCTCTGACGAAGACATGAGATCTCCGACCTCTAGTTGTAACGTGTTTATACCTTAGGTGGTCCATTGATTTGGAATTTAAAAAATTGTTGCCCTCCAACCATAAATGCCCTTTTTTCAACGTTGTTTCAGGGACAAATGGGTGTTCTAAAGGTTCGTTCATAAAATATAGGTACATTATATTAGATAAACGTTTCTTGGTTTATGCAATTGCTCAGATCACAAAACAGTGAAATGTTTCAATTGCTTTTATTAATTTCAGCCCTGAGTCTCAAATGCGCCAAAACGCAAACAAGAGTTAATGATAAAACTTATAGAAATTCCTTAGTAAGAACAGTTAGTTTTCGAATGTTTAAGACTGGGAAGGTAACATTTGTAAGCAAATGTATGATGTTACTTAAGCATGGTCTCGCTACATTCCTTATTAACTATTCCATTGGGCAAGGATGGGTAGACAAGCATTTATATTGGGGACTTTTATAAAGATAGCGCAAAAAGCAGTGTCATAGTTACAGAGGAGTCAATTTTTTTGATAGTGAGGTATGTGAATAAAAGTACTCTGTATTTGCTCGTATTATAGACTTTATCAATAAATTGACGGTAAGTTAGGCCATGTTGATTTGATTATATGGATGACATCCTCTGGGAACCTCAAAACTGATGCGAGCGTGCGAATGAAAGTAGTTTGGCAAAAAAAGTTTATTTCATTATGAAATCTACGTGGTCATGAAGGTTGAACAAATGACACAGAGTATGGCATGGCGAATAATCTACTCTTCAATTCATTTCTCAACATCCTCGTGTTTTTCGCTTGACTTTGGCATTCTACGACATTGATATCGTTTTCCAATATGTTTTTTTTTTCAACTCACGATATATATTTGCTCATTTTGCAACTGTTTTCTACGATTTACAGTATGGTTGAAAACTTTTTTTTTAAACGGCACGCATGGATGCCATCCATATCATCAAATGAACATGACCTTATATGGGAACGCTACCAGGATTAAAAGCGATCCGGAACGGCAAAAAAATCCTAGTGTAAAATGGGCCTTACTTAGGAAAATAGCACTTAGGATGAAGTTGAAAATGACCCCCCCCCCCATCACATACAGTCATAATCTTACCATCTTATCGTACATACAGAAAATTACTTAGGAGCAATGATTGAAGCATGAGTCAAGTACACTTTGTATCATCATGACAGCTTTAATTGGAAAGAAATGAAACCTGTTACGTTAATGCTCTTGTAATACGAAAAAAACAGGATGTAGACTGAAATAACAATAATCATAATAATACGTCCATTTTTATTGGAAATAAATACCAGAAGGGTTTTACATCTTCTTACACTGCCTTTGAGGAAGTAGAAGACGAATTTACCCACTTCTATATATAATATGTGGGTTCTTTGGAATCTAAATCAATGATGTAACGTTACCGTATTTGAATAATAACATGCAACAAGTTAGACGTTATTTCCCTTACTTCTCTGTTTTACAAGTCATAGATAGAATTGTTGACTGACTCAAAAATATTCTAGTATAATATAGAACGTTGTATCTCTTATTGTAATCCTCTTCATGAGATGATAGACTTAGTCTAACATAGGACGAGAATTGTTGACTGACTCAAAAATATTCTAGTATAATACAGAACGTTGTATCTCATATTATAGCCCTTTTCATGAGATGGTAGACTAACTTAGGACGACGATAACGTCAGCCTGTACTCCTACAATAGAAACTTGTTCTCGTTCACCATATGCGTAGAGTACTAGAAGACATTATGTTACTTCATACGAAGAATAGAATGAAGAAAGATGGATCACGCAACTAAGAGCAGAGAGTTTAGTCTAATACAACATATATGCAAAAAACACATATCAAATTATTTACAAAAGATATTAACCAATGTTGGAAAACGATAATCTAATATACCATAATATACAAAAGACACCAAACAAACCCAAAAAAACAAACCAACCAACGGACCGACCAACCAACCAACAAAAAAAGTCGGTGTGATAAAGTTAACTTTATATTTCTCATTCTTTTACAAATGTACAAAAGATATAAATAATTTTGGAAAACAATACATCTAACATAACAATTATTATTATTACATACAAAAGACACAAATAAAATTATTAATAAAAGATATACGAAATGTTAGAAAACAAAATACATCTAATATAGCAATATACAAAAGACATATAAAAGCATTTACAAAAGATATACAAAATGTTGGAAAACAATACATCTAATATAACATAATATACAAAAGACACATATAAAAAATTCACAAAAGATATAAACAATGTGGGAAAACAATAATATAACATAATGTACAAAAAATATAAGATTATTTACAAAAGATATACACAATGTAAGATAACAAAATACAATTAATATAGCATAATATACAAATGACACATAAAATCATTTGCAAAAGATATACACAATGTTGGAAAACAATAATATAACATAATATAAAAAAGACACGTAAAATTTTTTTTAAAAAGACATAAACAATGTTGGAAAACAATAGTATAGTATAACATAATATACAAAAGAGATCCAACCAACCAACAAACCAAGTCAAAAAATGAACAAACAAATCAACAAACGACCCTACAAACCATAAAAACAAACCAAGCAACGGACCAACCAAGAAACCAACCAACCAAGAAACCAACCGACCAAGAAACCAACAACAAACAAACAAGCAAAGCAACGGACCAACCAACCAACAACAAACCAACCACCCAACTAACCAAGAAACCAACAACCAACAAACCAACGAACAAACCAAGAAAACAACCAACCAACAAACCAACCAACAACCAACAAACAAACAAACCAGTCGGTGTGATAAACTAAACTTTAAATTTCTCATTCTTTTACAAATGTACACAAGATATCAATAATTTTGAAAAAAAATTAACCTCATATAACAACACAATTATTAATATTACATAAAAAAGACACAAAATCATTTACAAAAGATATACATAATGTTGCAAAACAAAATATATCTAATATAACATAATATACAAAAGACACATATAAAATCATTTACAAAAGATATAAACAATGTTGGAAACCAATACATCTAATATAACATAATATACAAAAGACACATATAAAATTATTTACAAAAGATATACACAATGTTGGAAAAAATTAAGCTAATAACATCATATACAAAAGACATCGAATAAACCATCAAACAACCAACCAACCAACCAACCAACCAACAAGCCAAGTCAAGAAACCTGCCAACAAACAAACCTACAAACCACCCAACAAACGAACAAAAAAAACAAGCAACGGACCAACAAACCAACCAACCAAGAAACCAACCAACAACAAACCAACCAACCAACCAACCAACCAACCAACCAACCAACCAACAAACAACAAACCGATCAACCAACCAACCCAGAAACCAACCAACAACAAACCAACCAACCAACAAACCAACCACCCAACAAACTAAGCCAAGAAACCAAGAAACAAACCAAGAAACCACCGAACAAAACAAAAAAAACTAACTATTAAAGCAATGGACCAACAAACAAACCAACCAACCAACAACAAAACAACCAACCAACAAACAAACCAACAAACAAACCAACAAACCGACCAACCAACTAACCAACAAATAAACCAACGAACCAACCAAAAAAGCCAAGAAACCAACAAACAAACCAAAAAACCAC